ATCATCATCATCATCATCATCATCATCATCATCATCATCAGATTCCACCACCCTCCAAGGCAGCATATTTCACTGTTGAACAGCCCTTACTGTCAGAAAGGTCTTCCTAACGTTGAGCTGGAATCTCTTTTCCTGGGGCTTCCATCCATTGAGGCTCCATTGTGTCCTATTCTCTGGAGCAGCAGAGAACAAGGTTGCTCCACCCTCGATATGACATCCCTTCTAATATTTAAACACGGCTATCATATCACCTCTCAGCCTTCTCTTCTCCAGGCTAAACATCCCCAGCTCCCTAAGCCCTTCCTCATAGGGATTCATGGTTTCCAGACCCTTCACCATTTTAGTTGCCCTCCTTTGGACACAGTTCCAGTTTCTCCACATCCTTTTTGAACTGGACACAGGATTATTCCAGGTGAGGCCTGATGAAAGCAGAAGAGAGTGGGACTGTTACTTCTCTTGATCTAGATGCTATACATCTATTGATATAGTCTAGAATCACATTGGCTTTTTTAGCTGCTGCATCACACTGTTGACTCATGTTCAGCTTGTGGTCTACTAGGAATTCTAGATCCAGAGAAACAGGGAATCAAAAGCAAGAACATACAAGACATCAGAGGGAATGATTATAATAGAAGCAAAATGAAATACTGGGATTAAACGGAAAGTCCCATGCAGAACACCTAGAATGGAAGCATGGGGTGATGATGGTTCTAATATACCAGGCCACCAGTGTGGAAAATGACCACTATTAGTACCTGATATTTCCATGGGGCTAATGCTGGTTGCTTGGCCATACATATGTCAGTCTTCCTCTGCTTCCAACTAGGAACCAAAGCTGAGACGCCTTCAGCTCCATCCCCAGCTCCTTCGCTCCAGAGCCCCAACCTCCCAAAGCAGGACCTGGGCAACAAGCCCCAAACCAAAGCAAGCCAAATGGCCACAATGTCCTCCCGTGGTGCTCTTTGGGGCCATCCCAAGACCCAATGGGGCTGCCGCTGCTGGTGGTGGTGATAGAGTCATAGAATCATAGAATCATAGAGTTGGAAGAGACCACAAGG